AGAAGTGGGATTGCTTTATCGCTGTGCAACCTGTCAGAACAATTAAAATTAGGAGAGAAACAATGACAATACCAAATGCTGATGAGGATGTGGAGCACCTGGAACTCTCATACATCACTAACAGGAGTACAAAAGCATAGCTGCTTTGAAAAACACTTTGGCAGTCCCTTATGAAGTTTAATATACATTTCTAATACAACCCAGCAGTTTCTTTCCTATACATTTACTCAAGAGAAATGAAAATTTATATTCGCAGAAACCATGTCAATATCTGAACATTTATAGAGGCTTTATTCATAACTGCCGAATATTAGAAACAACTCAAGTGTCTTTCACCTGATGGGTAAATTGTAATACATCTCTACAACCGAATGCCACCCAGCAATAAAAAGAACAAACTACTGATACATCACAACATGGATGTATTTCCAATGCATTATTTTAAGAGAAAGAAGCCAGATTTAAAAAGCTACATACTCCGTGATTCCATTTATATGACGTTCTTTAAAAGGCAATACTATAGGGACAGAGAGTAGATCAGTGATTGCCAGGAGCTGAGGCCAGGGGATGGTTTGACCACGAAGGGGCACCACATAGGAATTTCTTAGGTTGATGGAACTGCTGTACATTTTGTCTGTGGTGGTAATTGCGTAGTTATGTGTTTGTCAAAGCTCAGAACTCTACACTCTAAAGAGTTAATTTTAAATGTAAACCATACCTCAGTAAACCTGACTTTAAAAACAGTGCACAGGTAACTTTGTTAATTGCTGCCCAAATCCTGTTTATGGTAGAATGATTAATGGCTCCCGCAGATATTTGTGTCCTAATTCCAGAAATCTCTGGATGTCACCTTACAAGGCAAACAGGATTTTGCAGATGCACTAGGAATCTCGAGATAAGGAGAGAATCCTGGCTGATGCAGGTAAGCCCTAAATGCAGTCCTAAGTATCCTTATAAGAGAGGCAGAGGGAGGTTTTACCATGGCGAAGGCCACATGAAAACAGCAGAGAGAGATCTGCTACATTCCTGGCCGTGAAGATGGAGGAAGGGGCGATGTCCCAAGGAATTCAAGGAATGAAGCTCCAGAAGGTGGAAAAGGCAAGGAAAGAGAATCTTCCCCCCCCCCCCCGCCCCGGACCCTCCAGAGGGAGCAGAGCACCTGTCAACGCCTTGGTTTCAGCCCAGCGAGACTTCTGACTCCCAGAACTCTTAAGAGGATAATTTGTGTTGTTGAAAGTCACCAAGTTTGTGGTAATTTGTTACCATAGCAATTGGAGACTAATACACCCTCCACAGGGATTACACTACACCAAAAGTGTAGGGGTGTCCTTCATTTAAGAATGAGGAAAACTTTCCTGGAAGCCCCAGGACAGGCATCCCCTCATATCGCATGGGCCCAAATTGTGTCACATGGCCATTCTCAAACCAATCATTGGCAAGAATAGTCAACCTTCCTCCTACTCCTTGGCCTGAGGCTGCAGCATTCTCTCCTGACCCACACAGCTGCCTGATCCTGACCAATATCAGGGTTCTGCCCTCAGAGAAGTAGAGGGCTGTAGCTTTGGATTGGCCACCAATAGTGCCTACCTCAAAAGTTATTTGCAGAAGGGGCACAGTCAGTGGAGCATCTGACTCTTGATCTTGGGGTTGTGAGTTCGAGCCCCACGTTTGGTGTAGAGATTACTTAAAAATAAAATCTTGGGGCACCTGGGTGGCTTAGTCAGTTGGGCATCCAACTCTTGATCTCAGCTCAGGTCTTGATCTTATGGTCATGAGTTTGGGCCCTGCATTAGGCCCTGAGCTGGGCATGAAGCCTTCATAACATAACATAACATAACATAACATAACATAACATAACATAACA